AAAGGTCTTCGTTTGAGATGGTGTGAAGGGGAGGGTATCCAGGCACTGGTGCTTTTCCAAGTACTTAGGAGGAGGAATGTCTCTCTGACTGAGCTACAGGAATAATTGAACATTTTAGGAAGAGGATTGTGCTCTGATTCTATGTGCATCTCAAGTCTGTAACTTCATGAACACTAAACAATTCAACCTGTATGAAGGCCTGTAAAGCCCCTGGAGTATGAGCAGGAGGCCTTGTATGGATGAAGCACTCTGTTAACTCCTTTTTCACCCTCTGTTGTGGCAGATTTTGAATTGACTAAACAAGATCTGCAGGCCCTAACCTTTCCCAGCAACAGCATCACAAAGGAGTGATAGCAAGCTGAGCTATGGATACCAAGCCAAGGACTCACCATATGGTGTTTTTGTTACGCACAAGGGGAAAGATTGCTTTAAAGACCAAGGCCCAAATTCATCCTTGGCATAAGACTACTAAATTCAGTGGTGTTAGATCAACCATAAAGTCAACAGCAAACTGATTCTATGTGATGGGGAACAGAAGTCAAGGTTGTTTTTTTAATAGCCCAAGGATGTCTATAAGGTAAACTCAGTTGAGCCACGGATTTTTTTTTTTTTTATGTCTAGCTGACATCTGTTCTCAGAAAGCCTGCAGCACACTGGAATGATTTCCTAACATTTTGCCTCTCTATAAACACTGTGAACTTCTGTGACAGCCAGAGATGTTTCATACAAAAATGGGCACTACAAATGACCCAGGAGATATTATACTAAAGTACCCTTACACTGCTTTAATGATTCTATATTCAAGAATGAAATACAAGAAAACTTTCCAACAACGAGTTGCTAATGGTTGTTGAAATGTATTGACACACGACAGCAGATGAATTTTAGCCATTGTTATCACCATGCACATTAAAGAAATTAGACTGGAAACAATACACTGTGAGCTAACCAACCTACTGAGAGTCTAAGTCCCTCTTTTACATTTTTCAGAGCATTTGATGTGCAGATCAATTAAAGGGCTTATGTCAAGTCGTCTTCAACTAGCACAGCAGCTCTGACATGCAGAACTCCCATAATGCAGACATTCAGTAAAGTGCACATTGGAACACTTTTATCTTTACAGCATGTTATCTCATTTTTACAGGAAGATGTTACCAGAATGAATTGGTTAAAATGTAAAAAGTAATTGAGGAATCTGGCTTTTAAACTTCATGAGCTATTAAATAGATGGGGAAAAAATTGGCTGTTAACATGAGTCAGGTTGTCTAACCTGTCTGCTGCTGTGGGTTAACTTTGCAATACCTGAAAGAGATTTTAGAGGATATTTTTGAAGCCTGGGATAATGGCTGGTGAAGTTGGACTCAAGATAATGTAAATCAGCACTTATTTAACAGAAGACAGTTAACAACTATAAATCCAAAAGGAATATAGCTGGAATCAGGCCAAATATATATTTTGTTTCATATAGCATGAGATATTACATAGGTATTTTAGAAGTGAATTCAAGCAGGAAAGTGAGGAGAAAAACAATATAGCTAAACTTCCTACAATATAAATAAGACCATTTGCAGAATCAATTCTCTATTGACAAAGCAAAGATAGCTACGATACACGTTTCAAGAAGTATAGGTTATCTCATGACTCTGGCTGTTGTGAAGTGGCAGAGTGAGTACACAAACCTGAGAGATGAGTTTACAAAATGATCCCTCTTATAGACTCCTGTGGGAGACCAAAACTGATCCTTCTGGATATAAATTATTCATGCCTTACCTATATTATTGATTCTGGCTGTAAACTCAGTGTAACCAGAAAAGACAGGGCTGGTTGAGAAGAGAAAGGGGATACCCTAAAGATGCAGCCTGGTAGAGCAGGACATGCTGCTAGTGTAAGAACTGAGGCTGAAGGATGCCAGCAGGAAGAGAGCAAAACTGACATTTTGCGGGAAAACAAGAAATTCAAAAGCATTTTAGCTGTTAGTGCTTACTTTGCAACTACCAGGGATCTTTTATATTCACCTTCCAGCTGACCACCCCTGGCAAGAAGCAGTTAGTAGACCTGCCTGTCTCTGAACCTAGCAGTCTCCTGACACCCTCTTTCTTGCCAAGTGAAATATGAGTATTGATAGTCCAACTATAGGTTGCTTGATACTCTGGAGTTCCATTGCTCCCATCTGCCACTGCAAAAGCCCCACACACAGTCTCTTCTCTTTTTCCTGGAGCTGCTTTTTTCTCACAAGCTACCTTCCAGAAGGTGGCTGTGACTCCCAGTTACTGGACCTGCTTGACTGGCATCCACAGGCCACCTTTCTCAACTCCACCATTCACTCGAAGATGACAGGAAGCATCCCCTTTGTCCTAGATTTCTTAAGTGTTTAGCAGATACTTTTACACATCAGGAAATACCTGTGAGGTGCAGGACCCAGGCAGGCCACACCACATGGCTAGTTGAGACTGAGAAGAAGCTGCTGCAGCAGACTTGTACTGACAGCATTGGTATCTATTTGCAGGCTTTTTCCCTGGGCAGCATTTGTGGCAGTAAGCCCATATTTTGTCTCAATCTTAAACGATTTTTATCAGACTCAGGCACTTTGTCCAAGTGCTCTTTGGCCAGATACCCTAACAAGTATGTCTGCACCCAGAAACTCTTCCAGTCTTGCATTCAATTTGCAGACTGCATGTTCACAATTGAAATATTATTATTGAGAGGTTATGAATACATTAGGTACTTAAACCCACTATAAATAAAGATATTTAGATAGATAGACTTCTTTCACACTCAAGAACTTATATAAAACCCTCCTCTTCTGTCTGAGCTCATTAACACTGTTTCTCTTGAACCAGCAACATAGAAGATTGCAAGAAAAAAGGTCAGACAAATGTATCAGAGGCAGTTCTCTTTGCCAGAGCTTATCTGTTCCTTTCTGTATATTTTTCTCCCAGATATATTATTTTCTTTCACGAAATATACTTTTTTTCTGCCTAGTTTTACTTTTGAATATTTTCCAGTCTCTAGGTGTTTCTGTTATGTCCTTCTCCTCTTTTTCCTCCCATTAGTATGTTTTCTATGTACTCTCTATATCTTAAAGGTGTTAGAATTGCTGATAAATCATTGCAGGTAAAGAATGCAAGAGTATCTGAAAAGGACAGCTGAGAGCATGGGGAAAGAGGAAACCAAGCAAAGGGTTTGGGATGGTCAATCAAATAAAAAAGTGTATTCTGCCTCCTTGATGGCATCCTCTGAGACAAAAAAAAGAATAGAAAACTGTAGAAAAATTCCATGAAGACTCACAGACACAAAACCATTATATTTCAAAGGAAATATTTTCATAGCCTACAAGTGGAAGGAGTTGCACAATGCACAGCACTAAAGACTATGACTAGGGAACACTCCATCTCTCTTGAGAACGCATCACAAGTAATTTGAGAACACTTTTTCTTTCTAGCTGCCAGTGACTTGTTTTAATGACTGAGTATGCACTGAAATAAATAAACAGAATTGTTCCTAGGCAACATTCATAAATCCTCAAGGCTGAGGTATGGCTAACTAATCTCCATAAAATAGATCTGGACATTTCCTAGGTCAAGCAAGAGCTGAATCTGCATCTCATCCACATTTCTCACAGTATCTCAAAATTGTCCTTATGGAAGTTTTTTCATAGGAAAACTTTTTCATGGCAGAATTTCAGTGACAGTTGCTATTAAAGAAACAAAAATGCAAGGTGTTTTGAAGCCATTTCTTGTTATATGTGAAGAAATATTAATATATTTTATTTGTGAAATCACCATGCACCATACCCTAACTAACTTTTGATTTGATTCAGGACTGCAGAGGCTGAACAGTCCATGCAGATTTCATATCTTTGGTAATACTACCGAATATCTTTCACATAATTACAGAATCACAGAATCACTAGGCTGGGAGACCTTTAAGATCATCAAGTCCAACTCGTGCCCTAACACCTCAACTAAACCACGGTACTGAGTGCCACATCCAGTCTTTGTTTAAACACATCCAGGGATGTGACTCCACCACCTCCCCAGGCAGGCCATTCCAGTACTTCATCACTCTTTCTGTAAAATCTTTTTTCTAATATCCAGCCTACATTTCCCTTGACACAGCTTGAGACTGTGTCCTCTGGTTCTGTCAGCTGCTGCCTGGAGAAAGAGACCAACCCCCACCTGACTACAGCCACCTTTCAGGGAGTTGTAGAGAGTGATAAGGACACCTCTGAGTCTCCTTCAGGCTAAACATCCCCAGCTCCCTCAGCCATTCCTGACAGGGTTTGTGTTCCAAGCCCCTCTCCAGCCTCCTTGCCTCCTCTGGATGCGCTCAGGTGTCTCAACGTCCTTCCCAAACTGAGGGACCAGAACTGGACACAGCACTGAAGGTGTGGTCTCACCAGTGCTGAGTACAGGGCGAGAATGACCTCGCTGCTCCTGCTGGCCACACCGTTCCTGATACAGGCCAGGATGCCCTTGGCCTTCTTGGCCACCAGGGCTCACTGCTGGCTCATGTTCAGCTGCTGCCCGTACCCCCAGGTCACTTTCTGCCTGGGCACTGTCCACTGCTTGGCCACCACTGAAAGGAGATCATTCACCTGTTCACACCACAGGCAGGCTTCTTCTGCAATGCCCCTGGTGCCACTGATAAACTCAAACATTCTGCACAGGAATGCGTCTAGACAGACACATCCTTTTTGGAAGGTTCTATTTGGCTACATACACTTGTACTAATTGCAGTTTTTGACCCTGTAAAAACCATTACTAACAGAAAAAAAACCAAAACCAACCAACTAACAGAAACAACAAATGACAAACTAAAAAACCCATGAGCAGGAGGAAACCTGCAACCCTGTCTGTTTGCCCTGCCTGCAAACTGCTACACAAACTGCTGTGCCACACCCTCAGAGACGTGCTATGCCACTGTTTCCCCGCTCTGGGTCCCCGTGCTCCCTAGAGGCCTCTTTGATTCACCCCACCACTCGCCAGAGGAGACCCCTATACCTTTGTTGGTAATGAGGGAAAAAAAAAAAATTCTTGGCACTCATGCCTGTTCATCTCCATAATATTTCAATATCTTCAGTAAAAGGCAGAAGATTTATACAATCTGAAGAGAAACCAGAGTATTAATTAATGTAAGTATTTCCTGTTGAAACCAGAACATGAGGACTACAGGTTTTTAATACAGCATCTGTATCTAGAAAAATGTAGAAATAGATTAAGAATTTTGAAGAGTCATCGCCCTACACATGAAGCGTGGGAGTCATCCTTTCACATACCTCTTTCTTTCATCATGAATCCTCTGGCCCAAATTCAGCCATGTGGGGAACCTGGAAGAAGTGAAATTTGAAGAAAAACATTCCCTTCAGACTGAAGAAGGGTTATCAGGGTGGAAAATGTCTATACCTCTGTGTTCTCTAGCAATGAGTAGCCGCCAGATCTGCTTCTTCTACTTTTAGAGGCTGCCATATATGGCCATGGTTTAAGCACCTCTTCTTGCAAATTTCTTTTCTTATGCTAGAATTTCAAAGTAACCTAGTATTTAGGTGCAATCTACTGTGAATGTATTGGCCAATATGATTGTTTATGTACCTAGAAATTTCTATGTGTTTAAATATGTGATTTGCCAGTTTTATTGTTTATCGTGTCTGCTTCTGATTCCTATCTAAATAGTGCATGCCGCTCCAAAGAATTATACTTTTTAAAATATATCTTTATATTTTTTTACTAAGCCAAATTCACTGAGGAAATTGTATGCAGTAATAACAACTGAATAAATGTCATTTTGATTAGTCCTTATCAGTGAGAGAGGTTAAGACATAGATATTTTATCAGTCCATGATTAAATTGTGAGCATTCTGTTTAATTTGTTTCAACCTACTGACAAACCCCTTGTAGACAAACACCTCATTCTTGATTACTTAAAGGAAATACATTCACTGTAAGGCCATTATTTGACATCCAGTTGTGCTGGTTTGGGGTGGGATAGAGTTAATTTTCTTCATAGTGGCTAGTATGCTCTGCCTACTGCCAATTTAAGATAGAACCATCTGTGTCCACTTACACTTCCTAGATGTAAAAACTATGGAATGGAGCTATTTTGACCAAATGCCTTGAAAATGAATGAAAAGGCCTGTGGAGTCAGATATCTTTATAGTTAACTGGGAAACTGAATCTTTTTCATAGGTTTATGTCTACTGATAGTCATTGGTACTGGAACATTTAATCATGACCTAAATCTTTTTAGCTTCTTAGCTCTGGCTAGAGAATGAATTTACATTACCAAGAGGGAAAAAAAAAAAAAAAAAAAAAAAAAAAAGGAAAAAACCAAGATAAATTAAGCAGGAAATTATAAAAAGTGCAGTGGAATTAATGAACTATACTCAGGTGCAAATTAGTGTAATATATGTACCTTCAACAAAATCTGTTTTGTCCTTTGTGTAATTGCTTTTGCTTCTATACTCTATGTAATAAACTAGGTGCTAGGTGAGGAAAAATAAGCGGCACACATTTACACATGCTGTGTCTGTTCTCTGGTTATTGTTTAAAAAGTGTCAAGTGTTCTGCTTCAAAAGATTATGCCAATTAAAATGACAGTTCTTTAAATGGAAATCTGAAAGAAAAAGCAACATAAATATATTTCTGGAAGAAAGAAAAAAAATCTTTTCTTTAGTCTTTGCTTAGTTTTAAATATAGCTGTGGCTGCTCAGACTTTTGTTCTACATGAGGGGTGAATTTTGAAAAAAAAAAAAAAGGTTTTTTTTCTTTTTATACTTCTCTTGTCTTCGGTCTTTGTATTGGCAAACAGCATGTAAGCAAATGTGCATGGAAATGTTACCTAGGTGAGTTCACATTATAGAAATAAACCAACCCAACATTTTTTACAGTATTATTAAACCCAGCTATGCTTAGATTCAGACACATTGTGTATCATTCAACATCATAGTCTACCTTAAACTGCAGCTTTTTTTTCCTGTTAATTTGTAGTTGAATAATTTTTGTTGTTATTTCAATACCAGTTATGAAATTTACCTCCATTGACACCATTTTTCAGTGTTATCTGCATTTTAATTTTCTGTTTTCTTTCTGCAGTGAACAGTTTGTATATCTTTATAACCATATAGTGTTTACTGCGAATGTTTCTCTTCCCTCATACTCTTACAAGTCACAAATTCCTTGAATTTTTTTCTTCTTGAAAAATTGCAGTGTATCAAAGAACATCTCTATATTGGGAAAAGACATTTTCCTAATATATTTGTTGGCAAAAGCACCATTTTTATCTATATACAAGAAAGTTTGTGTGACTAAGAAGGTGCTTTAAAAATATTATTTGAAGTACTTTAATAATCACACTTGTGTTGTCTTAATTCAAAATGATACCTCATCTCCTATGTCCCATTAGGCTGATTAAATAAAAATTGAAACACTAAAGCTTCTGTTTCTCCTGATCCTCCCTTAAACCAAGAGAGAAAACAAATCATTTTGAAATGAGAGCCAGAAAATCAACATTTTCTATATAACGTGTAGGATTTATAGACTATCTACTTTTAGTTACTTGGCCAATGAGAGTTAAGGCAGTATAGAACCCTGACCACTTTGGGAGAAATATCTAGAAATGAAAATTGACATTTCAAAAGTTAGGTACAAAGCAAGACTATTAAGGAGCACCAAAGGTAGGATCAGCAGTGTAGACAGATGTAACAGTCTCATATGGTATATTTCGGATAAACACTTCCAGTTGTGTCAGGTTTATCACTAGTTTATATGCTATTAAAGCACTGCACAGAGAAACTACTGATTCCAGCAAGTCATCTAATTTGCACTCAGACAAGAGGGTTTTCTTGCTCCTTGCAAAAGTCTTGTTTGACTTATATGATGTAATGTGTTTTTTTCACAGATTTGGAACCACATACCAAATTACATAATAATCTATTGAACAACTTTCTGTGTGATACTGTGCACAAGTCAAAAACTCCTAAGATACTTGCCAGGCTACTATGCGGAGGTCTGTCCATCAGCAAAGAAAATGAGTGAATAAAAAACAAAAGGGTGACAAAGTACTGGAATGGCCTGCTCAGGGAGGTGGTGGAGTCACCATCCCTGGATGTATTGAAAAAAAGACTGGATATAGCGCTTGGTGCCATAGTTTACTTAAGGTGTCTGGGATCAGGTTGGGCTTGATGATCTTGAAGGTCTCTTCCAACATTGTGATTCTGTAATTCTGTAATATTTTGAGAAAGAAGACAAAAGTTGGCTAAAAGAAAACCCAAATATTTCAGGAACACATAGAATTTCTAGTAGTCAAAAGTGTTTTTTAGGTATAGGAATCCACAACAATCCTAGAGAAGAGCTGAGTACACAGAGTTGGTCCGGAACTGGTATCTTACTGTCACATTTACTACCAAATATATATTCTCTTATATTTCCAGAACAGATCATTTTATGCTGCAGATCAACCCTGCTATTCACTGAAAATAAATGTAGACATGTACAGAATAATTATTATTCAGCACACAATATTCTCACAGTACTTCAGCTGCCCTAGCAAGTGGCTGAACAATAAAGTTTGTCATATATGAATATCCAAGGTACTGCTAAAAAAAACCCTCTTGCCAGAAGCAGTTGCTTGACAATCCTGGCATTATAGAATGCCAAGGAAGTCAGCTAACATCACAGCCAAGAGTCTTTGGTTGCTAATGCCCATTTACCCATACAGAGTAAAACTTCTCAGCTGCCCACTACTCTGCAAAGCTTGAATTCTGTCAGTAAGTCTACTCTTTAAATCTCATACATCTCACACAAGTTGAAGTAGTTAATTTCTGACAAATTTTCTTACCATCTTTTCCAACAATTGTACTATATATCACTTGTATAGATATCTATGAAAGGTTGGTCATGAAGAAAATTCCTGCAGAGAGATGGTACAGTGACTTTAATACTACAGATTGTGTGCACCTGCTTGTATGATTTAGTTTTTCAAATAAAAGTTAATTATTCTGGCATCAGTTTGCCCCTGTTGTGACACATTTGTTTCAAATTGGTTTGCTTTGTGCAGTTTTTGTGTAAACTCAAACCCACAGTTTTCATCAAGCCTATTGCTGCATATCTTTCTGAATAATTTCAAAGAATGCCATGTAATTAATTTTTTTAAATCCTATTGAAACTGCACAGTAATTTTTTTTTACATTTTCATGTTTATTTCCTGCTGTCTCAACAAACATCTTAATAAAAATTTGTTTCAGACAACTCTGCATCTTCCTCAAGTGCTTTCTTCTCATACCTCTTTCTGCAGACCTTGTTTACTTCTCTACCACTATCACAGGATATTTTTCAAAAAATAGTAAAAAATTTTGCTTGTAGCTTTCCAAATATATGGACTTAGCTTTATATGACATTAGATCTCTTCTAGCTCCTTCTTCTAAGTAACATAAAGTGAAAGGGTTTCATCAGGTCCAGATTTACTTATGAATGCAGTCTAAATCGTGTAATCCTTGGCAAATTGCTGAGCCCAAGATTAAAGCAGACTACTCTGCTCAGCAAGACTCTGTCTGCAATGGGAATTTGAAAAGTACAAGCCAGACATCTCCAGACATGCACTGTAAAAATCATAAAAAACATAAATTTACATATCTTTACATATCTGCTGAATAAAAATCCCTGCCTGCCTTACATCAGGTGTTGAGATGCTGCTGTCATGAACAAGTGCACAGATGAAGGATCTTGGAGAGCAACAGAGTAAGAAATGTTTTAAATGAAGTTTTACGCAGAAAAACTTCTTGTTTCTTCTTCCACTAAGGGAGATGCTGGTAGTGTCCATATGCTGTCATCCACCTTTTTGTTACATAAGCTAAAGCACATGGCCATTCCAGTCTACTTATTCCTTTATATCTATAGATAAATAAATACATCTATTTCTACATAATTTAAATCTATAAAAATTAAAAATGAGAGTGAAACATTCATGAACATTGTTTTATTACAAACTCTAATAATTATGTTGGGAATGTGAATTTACTAAGCAGTATCTGTCACAGAACGACACAATTTCAGACTGGTTGAAATTTGAAGGGGCCCTCATAAATCATCTGGTACAACACATGGAGTTACAGGCAGGATCAGCTAGAGCA